AAAAGATATTCCATGCAAATGGCAATGAAAAGAAAGCTGGGGCAGCAATACTTAATATCAAACAAAATAAACTTTAAAACAAAAACTGTAACAAGAGACAGAGAAGGGCACCATATACTGATAAAGGGAACAATCCAACAAGAGCATATAACACTTGTAAATATCTATGCACCCAACATAGGAGCACCTAAATATATAAAGCAATTATTAATGAAGTAGAAAGAGAAATAAACAGTAACACAATAATGCTAGGAGACTTTAACACTCCACTTACAGCAATGGGCAGATCATCCAAATGGAGGATCGATAAGGAGACATTGGCCTTAAATGACATATTAAACCAGATGGACTTAGTAGATATATACCAAACATTCCATTCAAAAATTGCAGAATACACATTCTTTTCAAATGCACATGGAACATTCTCCAGGATTGATCACATATTAGATCACAAAACAAGTCTCAGTAAATTTAAGAAGATTGAAATACTACCAAGCAGCTTTTCTGAGTATGAAAGTATGAAACTAGAAATCAACTACAGGAAGGAAGGCAGAAAAGCCACAAATATGTGGAGATTAAACAAAATGCTATTGAACAACGATTGGGTCAATGAAGAAATCAAAGGAGAAATTAAAAAAATACCTGGAGACAGATGAAAATGAAAATATGACATGCCAAAATTTATGAGATACAGTAAAAGCAGTTATAAGAGGGAAGTATTTTGGAATAGAGGCCTACTGCAACAAACAAGAAAAATCTCAAATGAACACTCTAACAGTGCACCTAAAGGGCCTGGAAAAAGAAGAAAAAACAAAGCCCAAATTCAGTAGAAGGATGAAAATGATAAAAATCAGAGTGGAAATAAAGGAAACAGAAACTAAAAAGACAATAGAAAAAAGTCAATGAAACCAAGAGCTGGTTCTTTGAAAAGATAAACAAGACTGACAAACCTTTAGCTAGACTCATCAAGAAAAAAAGAGAGAAGGATCAAATAAATAAAAATCAGAAAGGACAGAGGAGAAATTACAATGGACACCTCAGAAATACAAAAGATTAAAAGAGAATACTATGAAAACCTATACGCCAACAAATGGGATACTCTAGAAGACACGGATAAATTCTTAGAAGCATACAACCTTCCAAAACTGAATCAGAAGAAATAGGGAATTTGAATAGACCAATCACAAGTATGGAAATCAAAATAGTAATCAAAAACCTCCCAAAAAATAAGAGCCCAGGACCAGACAGCTTCCCTGATGAATTCTACCAAACGTTCAAAGAGACTTAATACCTATCCTTCTCAAACTCTTCTAAAAAATTGGAGAGGAGGGGAAGCTTCTTAACTCATTCTATGAGGCCAACATTACACTGATACCACAATGAGAAAAGGATAACACAAAAAAAGAAAATTACAGGCCAATATCCCTGATGAACATCGATGCAAAAATCCTCAACAAAATACTAGCAAATTGAATACAATAATATATTAAAAAGAGCATACACCATGATCAAGTGGGATTCATTCCAGGGATGCCAGGATGTTTCAACATCCTCAAATCCATCAACGTGATACACCACATTAACAAAATGAAGAATAAAAATCACATGATCATCTCAATAGATGTAGAGAAAGCATTTGACAAGATACAACATCCATATATGATAAAAACTCTGAATAAAATGGGTATAGAAGGACAGTACCTCAACATATATGACAAACCCGCAGTTAATATCATTCTCAATGGAGAAAAACTGAAAGCTATCCCTCTAAGAACAATAACCAGACCAGGATGCCCACTTTCACCACTCTTAGTTAGCATAGTTTTGGAAGTCCTAGCCAGAGCAAACAGGCAAGAAAAAGAAATAAAAGAGATCCAAATTGGAAAGGAAGAAGTGAAACTGTCACTATTTGCAGATGATATGATTTTATATATAGAAAACCCTAAAGAATCCACTAAAAAACTTTTAGAAATAATAAAATGAATACAGTAAAGTTGCAGGATACAAAACCAACATACAAAAATCGGTTGTGTTTCTATACACTAACAATGAAGTAGCAGAAAGAGAAATTAAGAATACAATCCCATTTACAATTGAAACAAAAAGAATAAAATACCTAGGAATAAACTTAACCAAGGAGGTGAAAGATCTGTACACTGAAAACTATAAAATATTGTTGAAAGAAATTGAAGACACAAAGAAATGGAAAGATATTCTGTGCTCTTAGATTGGAAGAATTAGCATAGTTAAAATGTCCATGCTTCCTAAAGCAATCTACAGATTCAATACAATCCCTATCAAAGTTGCAACAACATTTTCCACAGAAATAGAACAAAGAATCCTAAAATTTACATGGAACAACAAAAGACCCAGAATAGCCAAAGGATTTCTGAGAAAAAAGAACAAAGCTGGAGGTATCACACTTCCTGATTTCAAAATATACTACAAAGCCATAGTAACCAATCAGCATGGTACTGGCACAAAAACAGACACACAGATCAATGGAACAGAATCAAAAGCCCAGAAATAAACCCACACATCTATGGACAGCTAATATTTTACAAGGGAGCCAAGAGCATACAATGCAGAAAGGAGAGTCTCTTCAACAAATGATGCTGGGAAAACTGGACAGCCACATGCAAAAGAATGAAAGTAGAGCATTATCTTACACCATGCACAAAAATCAACTCAAAATGGATCAAAGACTTGAATGTTGCACCTAAAACCATGAAACTTTGAGAAGAAAACATAAGTACGTTCTTTGACATCGGTCTTAGCAGCATATTTTCAAGTACCATGTCTGACTGGGCAAGGGAAACAAAAGAAAAAATGAACAGATGGGACTACATCAAACTAAAAAGCTTCTGCACAGCAAAGGAAACTATCAACAAAATGAAAAGACAATTTAACAATTGGGAGAAGATATTTGCAAACCGTATATCAGATAAGGGGTTAATATCCAAAATATACAAAGAACACATACATCTCAACAACAAAAAACCAACAACCCAATTAAAAAGTGGGCAAAAGATCTGAATAGACATTTCTCCAAACAAGATATACAGATGGCCAGCAGGCATATGAAAAGATGCTCAACATCATTAACTATCAGGGAAATGCAAATCAAAACTACAATGAGGTATCGCCTCACTCCAGTCAGAATGGCTATAATCAACAAGACAAGAAACAAGTCTTGGAGAGAATGTGGAGAAAAGGGAATCCTCGTACACTGCTGGTGGGAGTGCAAACTGGTGCAGCCACTGTGGAAAGCAGTATGGAGTATCCTCAGAAAATTAAGAATAAATCTACCATATGATCCAGCTATCCCACTGCTGGGTATTTATCCAAAGAACTTGAAAACACAAAGGCATAAAGATACATGCACCCCTATGTTCATTACGGCACTATTCACAATAGCCAAGACTTGGAAGCAACCTAGGTTCCCACCAAGGGACAAATGGATAAAGAAGATGTGGTATTTAGACATGATGGAAAACTACTCAGCCATAAGAAATGATGAAATCTGGCCATTTGTGACAACATGGATGGACCTTGAGGGCATTTTGCTAAGTGAAATAAGTCAGACGGAGAAAGTCAAATACTGTATGATTTCACTCATAAGTAGAAGATAAGAATGACGACAAACAAACACATAGCAACAGAGATTGGACTGGTGGTTACCATAGGGGAGGGAGGAGATGGAGGGCAAAACGGGTGATTAGGCTCACATGTAAGGTGATGGACTATAATTAGTTTTGGGTGGTGAACATGATGTAATCTACGCAGAATTCAAAATATATTACGATGTACATCTGAAAGCTATATAATGTTATAATCCAGTGTTACTGCAATAAAAAAAAAAGAAGAAGAACATTTTACCCAGTCTGAAGTTATTAAAGGGTCCAGGAATTTATTCATGCTTTATTTGTTTTAAGACCCTGAATCGTATCACTATTTTTAAATTTAGACTTCTGATCCAACTGAATTAGTCATGTAGTATGGTGGTGGGGAATACATCAATTTTAACTTTTGTTTATTATGTCTGTTCAGGTGTCACAATGCCACTTATTAAAAAAGTTATCTTTTCTGAATAATCTTAAAAAAAAGAAAAAGAAAAAAAAGAGGAAGATTGGCAACAGATGTTAGCTCAGAGCCAACATCTTCCTCACACAAAGAAAAAAACAAGATACAGATGTTCACTAGGTTTTTCTGTTATTTGCTGGTTAGTTTTGAAGGTTACAGGATGTTTAAATATGACCGAAAGTTTTGGCCACTCTGACCAATGTGTAGCCAATAGAGAAATTTGAAAGCATCATTCTTCTCACTTCCAAGTAATCACTCCCCAGCCATAGTAAATGAGAACAACTGGATTTTTTCCTCTTTTGGACGTATATACTCTGCTATTATAAGCTATGCCTTATTTGAGTTTGCCTTTGTTAATTTGCTGTAATGTGATTAGTTAAGTTATTCTTACCCCACAGATCTAATGTAAAATACAGTAATGGCTAGGATCACTTTGCATTTATATCAGAAGTGTGATGTGCCGGGGCCTGCCCCATGGCTGAGTGGTTGAGTTCTCAAGCTCAGCTTCGGCAGCCCAGGAGTCTTGACAGTTCGGATCCTGGGCTGGGACATGGCACCGCTCGTCAGGCCATGCTGAGGTGGCGTCCCACATGCTACAACTAGAAGTATCCACAACTAAAAATGTAACAACTATGTAGAGGGGGGCTTTGTGGAGAAAAAGGAAAAGTAAAATCTTAAAAAAAAAAGTGTGATGTGCCAAGTCATGGCTGTAATTATTATCTAACGTCTATAAATTAGCATATTTTTCACATCTTACAGGCAAAATGTTGATTTTTTTTAAGTTAGTTTAATACGCTTTCCAGAAATGCAGAGGGACACATTTTAACAAAAATGTAATCAGGAGGACAATGGTGGATCATTGAACACGCACATAACATGTATCTTGAAAAGACTGAAATGTTGCATTCTCTCTGTAGATATCACTCTACAAAAGGAAACTCAGGAAGGAATTCCACCCCCCACCCAGAGTCAGGAAGCCCTGAAATCTCAGGAGAATATATCACGACCCATTCACCATCCTTTAGTTTTAAAAACTAACTTTGAAGAAGAAGAGGAGGAAGGAGACGAACAAAATGGTTAGTAAGCCTTTTCTCAGATTTACAGAGCAGGTCCACAAACTTCACGATATTTTCTACGTATTTGTGTAACTCTTAGAGGTTTATAATGTAATATATGACAAATTATGGTGAGAAAATAGCTTTAATTTTATTAAGTATATTAAATTCATTATGTTCTTATTTGTTCTCTGTCTACAGATGCTTATAATTCTTTGTATTGAAAAGTTTTTGTTGTATGATGGCTGGGAGACATCCCATGTTTAAACACGTACAGTTGCTTATAGGAATAATAATAACCTCTTTTATTTATATATAACAAGATTGTTATACATATGTCCATCTATCTGTCTATATATTACATGATTACATCTGTCACATTTAATCCTTGAAGTTACAGAGATCCATAGTGTATAATTCATAAAGCACTATCATCTGCATTATCCTAAGCAATCCTTGCAAAAGGATAAACAGGGTTAGAACCCAGATCTTTTGCATGCTAGTCCATCCTATTCCTCCCATATCATCACAGCACTGTGGTGCCAATAAATATGTACAAACAAGATAAACATTCAGCAAAAATAAACTTAGTCTTTTCTCTGTCTTTACTCTGGAATGTTTCCTTCTCTGGGCTACTGGCCACCATAGTGTCTGTGCTCAGGAATACATAAAGCTTTTTATTCCTCTTTTTGCTGGCTTTATCTCCACATCTGCCATAGCTACATATTCCTCCAAACAAACAAACATCATCTCAACATGTGAGTCCATACCTCTAGCTTCTCATCTCAAGACGCAAAATGTGTAATTAGTCATTTCTTTTCTCCTGACTGATTCTTTCTAATACTAGAAATATAGCAATTAGAAACATCTGCCAATAGGCAAATTGTTAATTTTAAAAATTAAAACAAAAACCAGTAATCCATCTATGAGAACAATGTCTGGGATTTTTCATTCTGATTTATAAATTTTCAGATTATTTGGCTTTGGGACAATTTAATTTAAAAAAAATATATCCTATAGATGCTTCTGGTTTATGGACAAAGACTTCTGAAGAAATTGAAGAAAAAAGAGCAATAAAGGAGATATGTTATAAATCTGGTAAGAAATCAAACATTTGTGGATTTTCTAATACTTGAATTGACAAATATACTAACCATTACTTTTCTTATGGGAGATTAGGTGACTACTACAGATTTCATACTCCTCCAGATAAGTCATCATCAAAAAGCATAGCCTCCACGGCGGAAAAAGAGTTAGAAAAGCCTTTGGAAAATGGCAGTGAATTGCAAGAAGGTAAGTAATGAAAAGTCAGCATTTCAAGTTGATGTGTCAGAGACGCTTGGTGTGATAGGCTGTGAATTATTTAGTAAGATGAACCGTAGAGCTAAATGATAAATAATACATCAGAATTGAGAGTGAGAAGGAAGTGCTTTTATCAGATGACCTAAATTTAATATGAAAAGCTGCTATTAATGTAATTATGCTTTCCCAGAGGAGCCACAGAACGAATAGATTTCACAAACACAGGATGACACTCCGCACCCCATGCGGTAATTCTGCAAATAGTTTGCTTTTAACATTTTATTTGTCTATGAGAATAAATCTCCCTGAGAAATACGTGTCGATTTTTCTTTAAGAATAGAAAGAACAACCTAGCCCTCCAGGGGAAAAGGGAGATCACAGAATGACATTAGTGGCAGAACAAGGGTCCATTTGTTTATTGAATGAGTGCCTTGTGTGCACCAGGCAATTTCAGGGGCAATGCAGGTGGATAACTAACTCCAAGGCTGTGCTTTTCATCGACCTTATGCTTTGATGAATCTGATTTTGCTGTTGGTGAACATTTTGCCCTCAAAGGCAAGATAAGAATATGCAAAACATTATTTTCTGGATATAAAACCAGAACTCAGAGGAAATCCATGGATGTCATAAGTTTATATAGCTTTCTTACCCCTAAGATGAGCTGAAAAATAAGTTTTGCAGTGGTAGGAGAGATTGGAATCCTCTCCTCCCCTAAAAAGAAAGGTAGTTAGGAAAGTCTGCTGGGATAAAGATGAGTATAGGATAAAGAGTAAAATGCCTGGCGTATGAATAGATAAGTGGCAAACTATTTAAACACATGGCGGTAGGTGGCAGCAGCATTCCATCAGATGGCGGAACAATTGAAAAGACCTAGCTGTAGGTGGGAGCCATGTAGGGAAGGACAGCTGACCTGCATTACCTAGACAAGAGAAAAAAATAACAAAACAAAAACAAACAAAACTGTTTTGAAGAATGTTAAAAATGGCAGATTATAAAGACAATTGCATGCACTTTGGCTTTATATTATGGTTTTAAAAGCTTTTGATTTTTAAATAATTTCAGTTAATTCATGAACACTCTTTACAGAGATTTCTTCAAATGTCAGCATTTTACACATTTGATTTTTCACTCTCTAAATATACACATTATTATTTTTTTCCAAACTGTTTGAGAGTAAGTTGCAGATATGATGCCCCTGTATGACTCTCACGTAACTGTAGGATAAATATCAAAGTCAGCAAATTATCACTGATACAATATTATTTAGACTTGTTTTTTTTAACAATTTTCACCAATTGTGCCATCAATGTCCTTTATAGCAAAATAAAGTGTTTTCCCTGGTTTAGATCCAATCCAGAGTCACATGTTGCATTAGATTGTTATATCTTTTTATTTTGCTTTTAATAGTTTATTTTAGAAGAAAACTATCTAGAGATGTATAGAGAAAATGGTGAGAATCAATTATGACAGTATAATTAGCATTTTTTAATCAATAGTAGTCTCTGATATTTTTACTCAGTTTGTTCATGGTGAATAGACATAAAACAAATATAAAATTCATTATATGAAAAACACATCAAATAAACTAAATATATTATACACACACAATAGTTTTAGATTGCTTACATTTTTAAATTGCCGTTTGATAAATTATCCATGTACGAAAATAAACTTGTTTGCTGCTTTCCTGACAATTATACAGTTTGCTTAAAATTCATGTATTTATAAATTTATTGTTCATCATATCACTATGAAACAATACTTGCATTAACTGTTAGGGTTTTTACCATCCTCATGAATTGTATCATAAACTTATGTAAGCATCTCATGGTTCCATGGGGTAATTTTTTTCTTCTAGGGGATGGTCTTACAGTTCCGACAAAATTTAGCCTATATGAAAGGCAAGGTGAGATAAAAGCATCATTGGATAGGAAACCAAGGACTGACATTGCTGCTTTCGAAAATGGAGGTGAGTTAATTTATTACTGATTGATTCTGAATACATCACCATATAATAAATGAATCTGAAATTTCTATCTCATAACTAATTTTGTTTCATCAAAAGTTTTTTGACATTTTAATTGTTGACTTTGTTAGGTAAGCTCCTTGAGGCCTGGAACTGTATATAATCATTTGCTGTAGATGAGTCTCTGTTTTAGAATGTCTAGCACGTGATGTGTACTCAGTAAATATTTGTAGAATAAATAATTTTGTGTTTAAATAATTGAATAATTGGATGAATTGAGACGTTTATAAAATTTAAAGATGGCTGGAAGTTAATATGCTGGAACAATGAGCCAAATTTAGTAAGGTAAACTTGAACTGTGATAAACATAAAATCTTGCATTTAAGTGCAAGACATTAATGGTAAGTTTTCTTCAAGTTGGGAAAGACCTGACAAGATACACATTGTGAGGAAAAAATAAGTATTTTTTGTTGGCCGCAGTTTTCAAAATGATTCAGTAATGCGTGTCAGCTACCAAATAGCTAAGGTAAACTTACATTGAATTATTAGAAGTAGTATAAGAAGATAATTAAATGTGATAAGTCATTTAAAGTACTCAGCAGAGTGTCTGACATAGAGAGAAACGCTCCATAAATGTCCACTGATTTCTGTACAGGGTGGTCCACATTTGGGTGTCATTATATAGGAGGTTACTTGAAACTAATATTTTGTCTTAAGAAAGGGTGACTTGTATGGTGAAGGATCTGCAAATTATGTATATAAGTAGTATTTAAAGCAACTATGGATATTTATCTGGGAAGATGGAAGACCTTTATGGAACATAAAAACTACTTTCATATGTCTGAAGATATTATATGGAAGATAAATTATATTTACTCTGAGTATCTCTAAAGTGTGGAAATAAAGATTGTTATATGTTGAAGGAAAATTAATTGTGTTGACTATGTGAATTTTCTTGCATTTATCTGTATGTAAGAGTACATACTATATATTCGTACACACACACACATATATATATATACACACACATGTATTAATCGAAACATATGTGATGTGTATAGAGATGGGGACGGTATCACCAAAAAGTGTTTAAACAAAAGTGGGCAAAAGAGATATTATAGAGGAGAATAATCCTGTTATTGAAAGATAGTTTTGTACGACTTTCTGCCATCATTGCCACTGACAGTAAGGTATTGTCGTAGGAGGTGACTGTTATGTTCCACAGAGGATTATATTTCTTGGAGTAGATGAAAATGAAGCTTTAAATGAAGAGAAAGAAATCACCATGTCAACATGTTCAAATACTAAAGGTAAAGAACCTTCTATATTTTGATCCATTTGTAATTTGGATAGATAAGTTAAACATAAAGCTTGAATGTTGTAGAAACGAATACAAGAGGCAAGATAATAAATAAAAATATACACTAAATACACAATTTTTAGGAGTCAAAGATTCCTACGTGCCCTGTCCTGGCTGCTCCCTAATTGTTTGACCATGTGGCTTTATCATTTTTAGATTTAATTTCCTTAACAGGGAACTTTGCCTGTCGGACTACATAATTTCTAGGAGTCTTGCTAGCTCTAAAGTTATTAGTTCTCTTAAATAGTAATATCAAGTCTTTTTTTTTTGGCTTTTTTTTCCCACTTCAAATCCTGATTGAATTTTCTTAGAAAGCTTTGTGAAGCTATACATATTAATACTGCAAAGAGTATTAATCTCATAATGACTTCCTCATTTTACAATTATTACTAACTGTAGTCTGTGAATAATCAAAAGATACAATAATAAAAAACATCTGCGATAGTTTTATGCTGCCCTTAGGCTTAGAATCCCCCAGCTGGTATGTCTGCTGGGCAGTTCTCTCAGTCACAGACTAAAAGTGCAGCAGCCCTGTAATTAGAGGACTTCACATATTCTCCATCCAAAGATTAACCAATTTCATTTACTGCTTTCCCCACCATTAAATTGATGTTCTCAAGAACAGGAAAAGGCACTAGAGATCAAATTATTCTTATGGAAAATTATATGTAAATCTCTTTTCCTCTCTTTCTCTTACTCAGAGGTGGAAAAGTTTTGCCCAATCCATCAAAAAAACCACACCTCTAACTACACTAATAATGGTAGCCACAAATAACATGTAGCTGTTGAAATTTAAGTTAATTAAAATTAAGTAAAATAAAAAATTAAGCTCTTCAGGGGCACTAGCTATATGGCAAATGCTCAATGGCCACATGGGACTAGTGGCTGTCATTTCAGACAGCGTAGATTTAGAATGTTTCCATTATGGTAGAAAGCTCTATTGGACAGTCCTGCTCCAAAAGCTGGCAACAAGTGAAAGTTGTTACATTTTAAATATTTCTTGAACCGCAATTTAATTTGGCACATTTGATGTAAGATGGATAACCTTTTCATTCTTTTGTGTAGAGGTATTAAAAATATTGCCACAAATATATAATTTACATATTGAAGGTAGTGACTGTATTTCTGGACTTTTAATGTTTTGTTAGTGACAAATTTGGGGACAACAATGCCGTAGTGAATTTCAGTGATACATTCTAAAAATTAATATACATATACATATTAAAGAGGTATGCCCATCATATAATGTTTGAAAAGTGAAATACCAACTGAAATGCTTCTTTTACTAATATTGATATTTTATTTTCTTAATTTGCTTTAAAAGATAACAAGGACAATTCTCATCCAAAGCGTTCCCTAACCACCCGACTAGTACCTACAATGCATGTATTAAATGCTACTGAGAATATCAGTATGAAGTGCAAAGAGGATCCCTCTTCAAGTGAGATATTAGCTCTATCACTTTTTTGGCCTTAGATATATTTGCCTTATCATGGATTTGTTTTGCTTATTTGAAATATAATTTTTTTTTAAAAGTATGGTTTACAAATTGTTCAGGATTAAGAATTAAAAACACAATATTCTACTAACTCTGAAAAAGAATTGTAATGTAGGTCCTAGTAAATTATATACTTTCCCACTAGTTTAATTTCAGTATTAAAATTAATAATATACTACCTTATTGGAAGATTCATTAGTCTGGCATTTTAAATTTCACCCATAGTGGGATACATTGACAGGTTTTATTATGTTTTGAATTGTTTTTCTTGATTTGACTTCTTCTTGCCATTAAGTGCTCTGAGCTACCTCTCTTGATACAATTAAGACTCACGAATCTTCCTCTGTTTCCTTCCCTCCTTCCTTCTTTCCCTCATTTCATTTATTGAACCCCCATAATATTCTTGATCACATCTAAGCACTGAAGGGAACCACGATGGTTTACCCCCAAGAAGCTCATTTAGTGACGCTAGTTAAAAATATAGTTTGCAAATCCTACGAGTGGGAGCTTGAGAGTAAGGGTGGAACGTGATGTTTGGAGATGAGGTGGTGAATCAGAGCTTCCCTAAAGGCTTAAAGCTGAAGCTGAAGTTCAGAGCTGGGGCGGAGAGATTTGCTGGTCCACCATAAAGAGCTAATGTAATCTGCATAGTGAACTTGATGTTCATTTTCTCTGTGCAGTAATTACTTGTGAATGTTCAGGATCTCCACATAGAGAAATAACAGAGTGCCTCTCTCTACCAAATTGTTTTAAGATCCTCTGGAGAGATGCACTTTAGAAATTTCTGGAAGATGGAGCATGCATATAAAATTTTCATTGGAAAAATATGCAAGTAAAAAGTGAATAATTTAGTGATCTTAGCACTTACAAATTCTGATTATTCAGTCTTGTTTCACCCAACTATCTATACACTCAACTTCTTATGATCTTAAAAGAATAAGGTAAAATTCACTAAAAGTATTTTACATTAATCCAACTTCTTAAAAGTAGTGGTTTTGGCTAAAAAGGTACAAGAAGGTTTATGTTCAAAATAATTCTAAAACTACTTAAAAATAGCATTATAATGAGATAAATGGTTACTTTTGGAATGTAATTTTATGTTCTTTTTAAAAGAACCTACACACTGCTTATTGAAAGTTTTCTTATCTATCAATTTCCAAGACTGATTTTTTATTTTGGTACTTAAAAATAAATCACCCTTTGTTCTAGAAAGTAAAGTACTAGGTTGGTGCATTTACTTTTTTCTTTTGCTTGACATGTGAATGCACAGATAACAATTAGCACCTACAGTAATTTTCAGATGAAAGCATCTCTTAAAAAACTGTAAAAATTTGTATCTTCTTTAAGTGAACGACGTGCAGCCAGTGAAGAAGCCTCATTTTAAAGGGGTGAAAAAAAGAAAATGGATTTATAATGAACCAAAGAACTTTCCTGGCCCAGGAATACGGAGAGGTAAAGTGTCTATCTATTAGATATTCCTAAATTGTAATTTGAAAAGAGGTTAAATAGCAAATAATATTTTCTACCAGAAAAACAAATCTCTGTTGTTCAGCATGTAACTGTAGATGTCCACGAACCCCTATAAACTTAGATCTTTTGGCTTAGTTGTCTTGCATTGTGCTACCAAACACTTTAAGGACTATACGTTATTTACGGGTGTGAAACCAGCTTATTTTATCCCTCACTCCCTTTCCCCTTTCTTTTACAGCAGTACAGACCCCAAATCCCCAAAATAAAATGAGTTACCATCACAATAATAAAAATAGAAATGCTGAGAATGCATCCTATATCCATGTTCAGAGAGATGCCGTCAGGACTGTCTCATTGAATGCACCTCCCTGCAGCAGGCCCAGAAATGGGTCCTACAATAAAGTCGATGTTACCAAGGAACCCAAACTCAACCTCTGTCCAGGTGAGTTTCTTTACTTGTATGGCTCACTCATGTCTGTGGTTTGCATTCCCATGGAATTTCCTGATGGTCTAACTCATCTTCATTGCTACCTGCCCTCCTCTTCTTTCTCCAGGCCATCACCCCCATAACATCTTAGAAAACTAGTGAGAGGATTTCTTCCATGTGCAGGAGTACACATGGTTTAAAGGATATGGTAGGAGACATGTTGGGTGCAGATGGCTTGACATTCAACCTCCCTAGAGTTTTGTCTCAGAGCACTGATTTTTGTTGCCCCAGGTAGCTTTATTTCACTCTTGAGGATTGTTTTCAAATAGTTGACATTTTCTTGTTCCACTAACTGCATTGTTCAATTATCACTTTCAGGCTAGTGCCTTGGCTTTTCTTTAGACCTTCATGATTACTTTCTGAAAGGGTTAGTTTAGGGGTTAACTGCAATATTTTCGACAACCTCTCATCTCCCCCATGATGCACAGACTGCTTCTAAATCATTTCATCGTGTAATAGGCAGTCATAGTACATGTCAGGAAGTACAAGGCACAGGCAGGAGGGAACCACATCTCTTTCTCTTCCTGTCTTAGATGAGTTTTGCTCTTGAAGTTGGGTTTCGGTTTTCTCAACTTGACAAAAGGCCACTGAGTTCCCTGTAATTTCGTGTTTGTATTTTCCTGTGTTCACAGTCTAGTTAGTAGAGTTCAGAATGTTGTAAACTCTCTGAAATATAAGTAAAAACTCTACATCTCTTTAGGTCCTTTCTTTTACGGTTTAAATAGAGGTTCGCCTTTTCTTCTATTTATTTTAGAATAGAATGATGTTTGGATTTACATATAAAAATAAAGATATCCTTTGGTGAAATAGGCTTTTAACCTTATTTGTTACTATTATTATTTTATTACTAATTGTATTATCATTTTACTGTGAGTGGATGACTGTGAAAAATAGAATGGCTACCAGAAGAGTTTGGTGCCATTGTCTAGATTTGTGTTAAGGTGGCTGCAGTTATATTCACTATTGCTTTTGCACCGTTAGTGCAAATGCCAACATAGGGGAAAAAGAAAATAAGTTCTTGGGATTAGTATGGAGTATGCTTTGAGAATCACAGCTGCATAGTAACACTTGAAAACACAAATACAGCATTATTCGATAATAGTTCAAATGCAGAGCTGTCAGAGGAAAGTAGATATTTAAGGGCCAAGTCAGTGTATACATGCTTTCGTTTCCTGGGGCAGGGAGTTCACTATGGTGGAGCGATCACTGCCATCATGAGAGTCACTTCATGGAAGGAAAAGGGGATTGGGCTGTACCTCCTAGATTTTACTTTCTTTCTTTCTTTTTAAACTCTGCAAATATTAGCAGAATTGTGTGGAAAATCATAGTAAAGCAAGGCAATGAAATATTTGGGTCACATTCAGATATCATACTCTCCTCTGGCTTAGCCTCCTGGGAGAGAGGCGTTCTTGAAGAATTGGACAGCCAATTAAGAGATGTGTTAACCTTGTTCATTGACAGCTTAAATGGTCTTCATAAGCTCACTTGCGGCCCTGATGCCTTAGCTTTGAAATGGTAAAATGAACTACTTAGAGAATAGCTCTCCTCTGAGATGTTTATAACATTGATATGCTCCTGGAATATGATTTCAAAGTTATACAATAATTTAATTCCAGTCTCCTTTGTTTCCTCAGATAAATATATGTCAACATCATATAATGGTACAGGCTGGCGAAAAAGAATTCCTTTTTCAAAGACATATTCAAAAACTGAAAAGATATATACAGGTAAATATTTACTAGTGATTTTAATGTATCATACAATTCTGAAAATGAATAGCAAGTTTTTAAGCTCAAGGAACATTTTAGAAAATTTTCGCGATACATATGAGCACAGTTACTTGGAGTTTAGTAGATATCTTGCCTACCAGCAATTTAATTTGACTTTGTTTCATTGTAGTTCTCCTTTACCCATTTTTATGTGTTATCAGAAATCTTTAGGTATATTTTTCTCCTTAGCTACAAGCATAGGAGTTGCAGCAACTATATAATAAGTTAAGATGCACTCTTTGTTGAACTACAAAGGAAATATATAAAACTGTATTTTGACACAAAATATTAAAGCCCTACTGTATCCACCATAGACGAATATTGGCTGGTGCAGACTGACAGGGCAGCTAAGATGAACTTTCGAGACTGGGAGGTTCAGAATGACTGTGGTGTCCTCTTGTGCTCTGTGCTCTGGGAGGGTGTGGGGATAGAACTTCCCCAGGGTGGAGGTTGGTGGCAGACCCAACCTCAGGTGATTCCCTTAAAAGCTTGGTCTCCCAGCTTATTCTGGGGCTGGCTCAGTAGGTTTGGAAAACCACACAGGATAAAATGATTTCAGTTACTTCTCAGAAAATTGAACATTTCAGAAAAACTTCTAGATAGGGAGTTCCTACTTAAATCAGTAGCCGAGAACTTTCAGAATCACCTGAAATCCATAAGCTCTTGTACTAGAACTTCTCAGAATGAGCGAGAACACATCCAGACTACAAACTGTCCCCTTTCTAAAAGAAATAGCTGAGATCTTCTAAAGCAGCATTTCTCCAAACTCTTTCGACTACAGCTGTGACGCATTATGCAGCCCTGTACACATACTTATGTACTGGAGTCATCTTTCCCCCATCTCTTCCCAAACCATATTGTACTGCAAGAGAACTCTGCTACAGTGCTATCTGAGTATATGTTCTCTTAACTCTGTGTGGGTTTTCACATGTGATTTCACTTAATATTGAGGGGAAGGAGATGAAATGTTGATGAAAGTCCTGGATAAAACCACAAATTGTTGAGCCACATCTTTTTCTTTTATGATTTCCTTGTGGGTGGGATGTTACTTGGAGTATTAAAGGATGTGCTCTTCACCCCTGCTGCTGTCCCAGTGATTGCGCTTGTATCCCAGCAGCCTTCTCCCCTCCCATTCCAGATAGTTAAACATGAATCTCGGAAGGCTTTGGGGGAAGGAAGCGGTCACTTCCTAGCATTCATGTGTGGCACAGGAAGGGGGATGTGACAGGGGAGGTGAGCAGAAAAAACCACTTTTTTCTTTCAATCTGCAGAGTGAGGAGGAGGATATGGAGAGGTAGCAAGAGACCAGACAAAGTGTAGAGCTACTTATTCAGTCCTAGTCCCCTTCTCCTCTTCTCCCACCACCCCCAACTATGCCAGGCCCTAGGGGTAGAAAGGTCAATGATAGAATTCCCCTTGAAGCTTTTAAGAATCTGAGCGTAAAAAGGATCTGCATTGTACTTCCCACATGCAACCTAGAGGGAAAAACTTTGGAGAAAATTTCTCACTGCCATCTGGTGGTGGGGTTGGGGGGAGGGCAAGCCATGTCTAACATGAGAGGACTGGAGACAGCCTCTTGAGATTTCCATGCTCCATTGTTGCTTGGGAAGGCATCACAGATTCCTGTGAATTTCAAGGGAGAGAGGATCAGTGGGCTGGGACTGAAGGGATAGCATCAGAAAGATGCCTTTGTGGTAGTGCCCTATTGGAGGAGAGGACTCAGCCTGAATTCTAACAGATTGCTCTGCCAGAGAGTCCATTTAGAAACCAAGCCATCATCCAAACATCAAACTCTTGTTACCTGAAGTAAGGTCTGAGGACCACTAGCAATGACATCACCTGGGAGCTTGTTAGAGATGTGGAATGTACTTCTCAGACCTGATGAATCAGAATCTGCACTTTAACAAGATCCCCAGGTGATTAGGATGCACAATAAAGTTTGAGAAGCCTTAGATGACGGTAGCTGGGCCACCATTCACCAGCACGTGACCCAGACCTTGTTGAGACCCAATATCGTTGAGACAATATTCTCTTTCTAGCTGTAGCTATTCTCTTCTGTTCCAACCCTAGAAATTAGAATAAGCAGCAGGGAGGTTGGGGAGGGAGAAAAACCATGAGAAAGAATTTCAAATCTGAATGTGATTGAAAGGTAAACGTGAAGTAACAAAGAAATCACTAAATTGGATCAAGTTTATGTGCAAAGGACTAGATAAGTTTTTTATATCAAGAGGAAGGAGGAGGGGCTGGCCCCGTGGCCGAGTGGTTAAGTTCGCGCGCCCCGCTGCAGGCGGCCCAGTGTTTCGTTGGTTCGAATCCTGGGCACGGACATGGCACTGCTCATCAAACCACGCTGAGGCAGCGTCCCACATGCCACAACTAGAAGGACCCACAGCGAAGAATATACAACTATGTACTGGGGGGCTTTGGGGAGAAAAAGGAAAAATAAAATCTTTAAAAAAAACAAAACAAAACATTGCTTATAAAAAAAAAAAAAAGAGGAAGGAGGAGTTAGAGTCAAGAAATTAAACAGAGTTATGACAAAATAAAGTTAGCTTTTTCACTTGTCTGAGCTTTAGACTGAGAAATTGGTAACCCCTAAACTTTTATCCTTTCCAATTGTTGTCATCACCAGAACAGAGCGAGAAAGATTAGCATGTGTTTCCTCCTCTGCACTTCCTGTTAGGGCACAGAGGAGTGAAATCAGCATCTCCCAGTAGGCAGAGGGACTGCTGGAGAGAGGAGGCAGAGAACAAGAGCTGCCACTAGTCTATTCCTCTAAGGAATAGCTGGGAGCCAAGGCAACAGAAGTGTAAATCGACTAGAGAAGCCTTTTGGGAATCTTGTTAGATGCTATGAGGATAATGCAATAGGAGAGGAGAATGTGCCTATGGGAATCGAGGAAAGGACCTGAAGGCGATTAGAGATGTCATTCTCATTGTCAGTCTTCCCTTGAGGCCATGTGTCTTTTCGGATAAGGGATATAGCTGGTGTGGCTGGAGGTGCCTGTCTCCAAAGAATGGAATGTTCATTCTGTTCATTCTGGGTACCTCATGGTGCAGCCTTATATATAGCATTATTTCCATTCTTTTCCATCCCTCTGTCCAAATTCAAAACACGGTAAGCTTTAGAAAGATGTGGAATTAGTTTCAAAGGCATTTTGAAAATTTATGAATTAAAACAATAAGGTTAGTTTTTGTTTTGCCTTTAGATTTATGGTAAGTAATAGCGAAAGAAATGCGAAATGTTGGTACCCTGAAGAATACTGAAAAAGAATATAATTAAGATATTTTGTTTATTTTATTATTAGAGCCAAGAAGAAATGGGAGCAAGTAAACCTGGAGGTTGAGAGAAGAGAAAAATGAGAAAAGAGAAAAGTGCCAGACATCATCTGATTTACAATCAAAAATGAAAATTCAAAGAATGAGATACTCAAGTACTCCATACTATATACTGGATAGCCAAAGATGATAAAATGCAAATTCTGAAAATAAGTTGCAGGAAGTACATTGTGCTCTTTCAAAACTGATAAAAAGGCAAATTACAAACAGCTGCCTGTGTATTTATATAGGTCTGGAATTCATTTGATGCATTGCCACAAACATTTAATAAAATTTAAAAGTTTGACAATTAAAATCACTCTTTAATTGTAAACTGATTTAGATTGCACAAGTTGAGGAGCAATATTGTGCCTTTGATCTCTGTTTTGCAATATTCTTCACGGAAGAAATTTCACATTTTCTTTCTTTACCTAGACTTTCAGCTGGGCCCTAAGTGACGATAACAGATAAAGTGTAAACAAATTCAACAGAGTCCCAGGATTACAGTTTGGTGATGAGTATGTTAGAGGAATCCCAATAGAAATACATTTTGATGTGTTGTAGAAAGAGACAAAGATTGGTTTATTATGCAAGCAGTTGCTAAACAATGCCTTTGAATTGGCAACTACGAAATTTATCTTCTGAGATGTGCTACATTCAAAACTGAAAAGGAAACATTTCCTATCATGAAAACAAAAAATTATATGATCATATCAGAGAAAAAGACTTGTTAAAGGAAAAAAAGTGAATTAATAACAGCGTGTCCCAAAATTCTTAGGTTTTAAGGCGTTCTTAACTCCAGAACTATAAATGCTTAGAAATGCAAGAGACATCATTTGAAAACTTATTTCCATTTCTTTTGCACTTGTTTAGAATTGCGTATCTTGAATAATAATGTTTTTTTGGAGGAAGATTAGCCCTGAGCTAATATCTGCTGCCAATCCTCCTCATTTTGCTGAGGAAGATTGGCCCTGAGCTAACATCGGTGCCCATCTTCCTCTATTTTATATGTAGGACGCCTGCCACAGCACAAGCGGTGCATAGATCCACACCCGGATCAGAACCAGCAAACCCTGGGCCACCAAGGCAGAACATGCGAACTTAAATACTGCACCACTAGGCCGGCCCCTAGAATATAAATTTTTAATTTAATTTAAAAAATTTCATCTGCAGAGTGACTGAAACAAAAATTTAGGATTAAAAATTCACCTTCAAACGTAAAAACAAGTATGAGTATGTAAGTGATTAACCTTTCAAATGATGTTTTTGTAAGTTTGTAGCATCCATACTTCTGAGTTTATTAAAACTCAGAACTTCACTAAAACTTTGGGACACCGTGCATTTATATTTGCATGCATCTTGTGCTTATTGGTAGCTCTTATTCAGTATTTATTGGTGCGGGGGAAATCAATATTCTTAGAAATATTTTATTTTAGAACATTTTGCAAGCTGTGATTCCAGCTTCTGGAACAATAAACCCTCATTTCTGGCTTCTAATGATGCTGTCTACCCACTTTCAAAAACATGAGGGTATAGTCATTTTGTTTTTGCAAATAGAGCAGATAAAATGAAAACTGTGCCAGCAAAATATCTTGGTGAGATAGATTTGAGAGGGATGTAAGAAAAGAGCTGAGCTGAAAAGCTGTCTGGATGGAGACTGATAGGAAACATCCTATAATTCCGTTTAACAAAACCAATCTATGTCCTTTCAAAACTAGTGGCGAAGAAGGAAAGGTTCAAAGAAGGCAATTCAAGATATCTTTCTTGAAGTATGGGTTCTCAGTACGTATCTTTATTGCATGCCAGATGCTGAAGGATCAATGAAGAATGAGAAAAATCTGAAAGGAAGGCTTGAATGTGATTCTTCTGAATGTGTACATGTATTATTCCTAAATAAATTTTAAATTTTTATTATGATAAACTTTGTCTAAAGGACCAAGTAAATGACAGAATTAACCAACCCTGTTTTTATATTTGTGATTTAGGGAATAGGCAATTAGTTTAAAGGGGTAAACTAGCAACCAAGAAGGAAGATAGCAAACCCCGAAATAAGACAAGAGAGGGCAAGACAAGGATAAGTGGACAACCAAAAATTTGGAAACCAGCAAGAAACTGTGCTTGCTGACTCCTAAACACACAAGTAGTCCATTTAAGCTTAAGTTCTATGATGCCACTGGCGGCCACTTGCTTTTCTGGCACATGCAAAAGCTTTCAATGAGTTTCACTGGTTCTATGATTCTACTCCTTTCCAAATGAAGCAGTAATAAAAATGATAAGAAGAATAGCATTCCTTGGATGCTTAGTATGTCAGTTTTCTCAGGCTGCCATAACAAAGTACCACAAACTGAGTGGCTCAAACATCAGAAATTTATTGTGTCTCAGTTCTGGAGGCTAGAAGTCTGAAATCAAGGTGTCGTTAGGGCGGGTTCCTTCTGAGGGCTGTGAGGGAAGTTCAAGGTCTGTCTCCTTGGCTTGTAGATCACTGTCTTCTTGCATCTCTTCACATGATCTTCCCTCTATGTGTGTTTATATGTTGAAGTTTCCTCTTTTATAAGGATACAAATCATATTGGATTAGGGCCCATCTAATGACCTCATTTTGACTTGATTACCTCTGTAAAGACCCTATTTCCAAATAAGGGCACATTTTGAATTAATGGAGGTTAGGATTTCAATATATGAATTTTGGGGGAATACACAAAGATGTCTTTCGGGCTCTCCCAGGGTGGGTGAGTAGATCTTCAATGACAAATCCATTTTAATTTTCCAATCTCCCTGAGATTTGAATCCCATTTTCTACAGTAAACCAAGGCAGGTCTGGCATTTATAGCTCACTCAGTCTGGGCCACCTTTTAGTCCATATTGAGCCAACCAACCAACCAAGCTGTTAGAACTCTTTCTAACTCCCTGAACTGAAACATTAAATGCAGAATCTCTGTTTAGTGGGCCCATATCAACAAATTTGGTTTGATCCAACTTTATGTTCCTTCCATCATTATTCCACATCTTTAATATCCCTTCTTACACATAATCCCTGGATTTCTGTCTGTGTAAGTTAGAAAACTCAAGTAGTTCTTTTGGCGTGTAGCATGCTTCCTTACGGGTCACCTTTTTACCTTTCCTGTAGGGCTGCCGGATCTTGAGTCCAGTTACAGGTCTAGTAGCAAAGCTGAGCAGTGGGGGTGATTCCTGAGGGGATTCTGCATTGTCTTGTTCTCTGCCTCAGGGTTAATCTCAGATGGGAGTGGAGAGGCTTCTTCCACTAAGGGTGGAGAGGCTACTTCTACTGGCCAAGAAGACTCATCTGAATTTAAAGGCTTAGTGTTCCCAGCTTCATCAGGCTCTTCTCACATGTCTGTATTCCAACTTTCGGGATGATGGTCCTTCCCAATCAATTCCATCATTTTTGACAGTAAGTACTCTGTGAGCCTGGGAATTCAATTTGCATTGAAATTCAATCAGTATCAGTACGAGATTCTGGGTTTGTTTTTCTACACTCTCAACCCTGTGGCTACAGGAGATAAGAGGCCTTTTTTCAGAGCAGGCATGGAAGCTTTCAGGTCATTTCTGTGATATATGAGCTAGGAGTTCAAATCCCTGAGCTCATCCTTTTCGTTCCTCACTTTTTTTCAGTGACATTAGGAGCAACCAGTTAATCTCATTATATTTGTTAGTTCGACAAAATATGTTTGCAAGTATCATATACATGATAACCTAAATCACTGTCTCTCATAAATGTTTGATTTTGATTATCCAATGGTGATATTTTACCTATTTCTATTGCCACATCACACCATAGACTATCAGTGCTCTACCGCTAGAAATAGAGTCATTAGTGTCTTTAAATCTAATCAGCCTAGAGAGCCAAGTCCAGAAACTCCAGAACCAACTCAGAAAACTCCTCCTTAACGTTATGTTCTATAGAGCCACTCTCAGTACTAAATTCTGTATTAGGGTTCTCCAGAGAAACAGAACCAATAGGAGGTGTGTGTGCGTGTGTGTGTATAGAAGAGATTTATTTTAAGGAATTGACTCATGAATCGGCAAGACTTCCATGCACAAATCTATAAAACTTTAATGAAAGTTACTAACAACACCTAAATAAATGAAATGCCATATAATCCTCATGAATAGACAGACACACTACATTAAAAAACGTCAGTTGTCTACAAACTGACCTATTCAGTATCATGGCAACCAAAATGCTAACAGGTGCTTTTCATAAAACCTGACAAGCTTATTCTAAAATTAGTATGAAATTCCAAAGCTTCAAGAATAGCCAGGACACTACTAACAGGGGAGAGTAGTGTGGGGAGTTGCCCTGTCAGATATCAAGACTTTTTCTAAAGTTATCTAATATTAGAAAGCTGTATATTGCATTTATGCAGTAACAAATGTAACTGCGTAATATTGACAATGTTATGATATCTGAGGCAAAATGGAAGTGAATAGAGAGCCCAGAAAACCAACTTATGTATCTATGCCAATCTGATATGTGGTAGAGGTGGTATTGCACATCAGTAGAGAAGGGAGAGGTTATTAAATGTTTTGGGAAGTTGAGTATCTACACAGAAGAAAAAAGGCAATGGATCCCTAATCTCAAAGAAAAAATAAATTTTAGATGAAACAAGCACTCAAATGTCACAGGCAAAACTTTAAAATTTATAGAAACCATTGAGTGTATACAAGAGTCAACACATATTTAGAAAGCTACCACTTGCTGAAAAGTTTGATAAGCCTCACCTAATTGCTATATGTGCCAATATTTGGGTAAAGGAAGGCAGGAACAGAGACAAGCAAGCATACTTCGGAACTCCTAAAGTCTCATGGAACCCCCTGAACATACTTTCCAAATAAACAAGGGCGCCTTTATAAGAAATTGGACACTAGTCCTCTAGGATTTATATCACTTATGGGGCTGTGTTTTCATGGTATTTCTCTTCTTATTTAATTAATTATTCCCGGATGTACATAGCTTCTTATCTCATAATGCAACTATTATACATTTTTACCTAAATTTTCTTTTCTTACCTTTACTTGAGGG